CTTGTCATTAAGTAGAATGCTGTTTAATTTCCATGTGTATGTATAGTTTCCAGAGTTTCATTTATTATTGGTTTCTAATTTTAATCCATTGTGATAAGAAAAAATACATGGAATAATTCCAAGTTTTTTAAATTTGTTGAGACTTGCTTTGTTACCTAACATGTGGTCTATCCTGGAGAATGTTCCATGTGCTGATGAGAAGAATGAATGTTCTGAGGTTGTTGGATGGAATGTTCTGTAGATATCTGCCAAGTCCAATTGGTCTAAAGTATTGTTTAGATCTTGTGTTTCTCTCTTGATTTTTTGCCTAGATGATTTCTCCAATGTTAAGAGTGGGGTGCTCAGGTCCCCCGCTATTATGGTGTTAGTGTCTATCTCATTCTTTAGATCTAATAGTGTTTGCTTTATAAATCTGGCTGCTCCGAAGTTGGGTGCATATATATTTATGACTGTTGTGTCTTCTTGATGGATAGATCTTTTTATCATTATATAGTGGCCTTCCTTATCTCTTTTTATGGTTTTTGGTTTAAAGTCTATTTTATCTGATATAAGAATAGCTACTCCAGCTCGTTTTTCATTTGTATTTGCATGGTATATCTTTTTCCATCCTTTCACTCTTAGTTTTTGTGTGTCTTTACAGGTTAAGTGAGTCTCTTGAAGGCAGCATATTGTTGGGTCCATCTTTTTAATCCAGTCAGTCAGTCTGTGCCTTTTGAGTGGGGAATTTAATCCCTTTACATTTAGAGTTATTACTGAAAGGTACTGGTTTACTCCTAGTATTTTACTGATTTTTGTTTAGATGTCTTAAGTACCTTTTGTTCCTTTCTTTCTAATTTTCTGTTTGTCTTCTGTATTTGTTGGTTTCTTGGGGTGGTAGATAAACTATTTTGTCTCTTTATTGTTAGCATTTTTGTTTTACTGGTAGGTTTTGTTCTTTCTTGAGTATTCATGGCAGTGATGGTTGGTTTTCAGGTATCAAACCCAGTAATCCCTTGAGAATTTCTTATAAGGCTGGTCATGTGATAGTGAACTCCCACAGTTTTTGTTTGCCTGAGAAATATACTATTTGTCCTTCATTTCCAAAGGATAGCCTTGCTGGGTAAAGTATTCTTGGTACATTCTTTTTCAGGGCATTGATTTCTTTGTTTTTTTATTTCAATGAATGAATCCTTTAGCTCCACAAGCTCTGCTACATTCTTTTTCAGGGCATTGATTTCTTTGTTTTTTTATTTCAATGAATGAATCCTTTAGCTCCACAAGCTCTGCTACATTCTTTTTCAGGGCATTGATTTCTTTGTTTTTTTATTTCAATGAATGAATCCTTTAGCTCCACAAGCTCTGCTACATTCTTTTTCAGGGCATTGATTTCTTTGTTTTTTTATTTCAATGAATGAATCCTTTAGCTCCACAAGCTCTGCTACATTCTTTTTCAGGGCATTGATTTCTTTGTTTTTTTATTTCAATGAATGAATCCTTTAGCTCCACAAGCTCTGCTACATTCTTTTTCAGGGCATTGATTTCTTTGTTTTTTTATTTCAATGAATGAATCCTTTAGCTCCACAAGCTCTGCTACATTCTTTTTCAGGGCATTGATTTCTTTGTTTTTTTATTTCAATGAATGAATCCTTTAGCTCCACAAGCTCTGCTACATTCTTTTTCAGGGCATTGATTTCTTTGTTTTTTTATTTCAATGAATGAATCCTTTAGCTCCACAAGCTCTGCTACATTCTTTTTCAGGGCATTGATTTCTTTGTACATTTTTTCTTTCAGGTCCTGTATATTTTTTTCGCATTTCATTGTGTTGTCTGAGTTTTCCTGTATCTCATTTAGTTTCTTTATAATTGTTGCTCAAAATTCCTTGTCAGTCATTTCAAGGACTTCCTGTTCTATAGGATCTAGAGCTGGAGAGTTATTATTTTCCTTTGGTGGTGATGTACTTCCTTGATTTTTCATATTTCTCTTATCTTTCCTTTGGTGTTTAGTCATTGTGGCAGGGGGTATTATCACTCCATCCTGATGTCTGGCCTGGATCCTGAAGGGACTGTCAATTCTGGGCAGTGGGGACTAACCTGGGCTGGGGGTCCCAAGGCGCCTGCCTGTTCCAGCATGGCTGGCTTGAGGCATGTGGGCCTGGTGGTTCTTGGGCCTCTCTGGGTGGCAGGGATTGGCCTGGGCTGGGGATCCAGCCAGAAGCTAGGAACCATCTACTTTGCCATCTTGACCAGAAGCCCCAATATTTAAGCAATTTTGAAAGGTTGGCTTTTTCAATGTGCTTTTAAGACAATTATGAAAAAACCTGCCAATTTAATCAGTTACTTTCACTGTACTTCCAAATCTTGGAAGAAGCTGTTTATGCTGACCAGTTGAGATGTTTTATGGAAAGCTGGGTGTAGGTCAATTTGAGAGAAAAGATAACTGGCAACAAGTTTTATCCACATTCTTGCAAGTTTTTTTGCCCTAAAGAACCCTAAAAATTGAAATGCTTTCTTTGAACTTTTAAAGGCACATCAATATATAAGTACACATTGAAGGCCAAGTGAGTTCTTGGTGGTGGTGGTGGTGGAGTGTGGAACTGCTCAACTTGTCTCACCCTCGTAATCCTAGGAAAGCCTACAGCTTAGCCATCTGGCCCCATGAGTTATATGTCTACATCCTAAAAATCTGGAGACACCAAAAATGAACTTATGGCTTCACTTCCCATGACATGAATCTCTCAGCCTTGACAAACCGATTACTCTCCCACAGCATTTAAAAGGTACATGATAGGGCCGGCCCGGTGGCGCACTGCTACAGTGCGCCGCTTGGGAGCGCGGCGGCGCTCCCGCCGAGGGTTCGGATCCCACATACAGACCAGTTCCCGCTCACTGGCTGAGCGAGGTGCGGGTGTAGCACCGAGGGCTGCGATCCCGTTGCCGGTCCTGGTCCGGTACGGGCGCGACACTGAGAGTTGCGATCTGTTGCCAGACACGAAAAAAGACAAAAAATAAATAAATAAATAAATAAAAATAAAAATAAAAGGTACATGATAATGGGAGGACAAGAGCATGGATGACAAAAGAAATTGCAATCTCACATGCAGTCGCTACATCAGTTGTGACATGCAGCATTTGCTTAGCTTCTGGTAAGCACCAGGCCTTCACCTAAACACCCAGTGGCTATGGCTCTATAGGGAAGACTACAAAGGTATATTTAAAGAACCTCCTTGGACAGACAAGTGAAAGAATTAAAAAGGGAGAAAGAGAATAACACAAGAGCCAAGCTGCTGATCAATCAGTTAATTTGACTATCATTTATATTTCTCTTCTAGGTTTTATAATTAACATATTTAGCCAAACAACAAGTACCCCTCAGAATCTAATCTGTCTGGGTTTTCGTATGAATTGTTCTGTCTGGGTTTTGGTATGAATCATAAACACACAACCAACCCCTTCAACACACTGGCATCCAGGAGGGCCTACATTCCACCTGCCTTACAGGATATATTTCTTATGTTTTGAGAGCACTGCCAACAGCACATGAAAAGATGCTAAGCATCATTAGCCACCAGGGAAATGTAAATGGAAACCACATGACAGCCCCACACACATTACAATGGCACAACAAAAATGATAACAGCAAGTCTTGGTGAGGATGTGGGGAAACTGGAACCCTCATAACAGCTGGTGGAATGTAAAATGGTGCGGCTGCTTTGGGAAACAGTCTGACAGTTATTCAAAATGTTAAACATAGAGCTACCCTATGACCCAGTAATTCCACTCCTAGGTATATATACCCAGGAGAGATGAACACTTATGTCCACACAGAAACTTGCACATGAATGTTACGGCAGCATTATTCAGAATAGCCTGAAAGTGGAAATAACCTAAATATCCATCAGTCAATCAATGAATAAATAGAATGTGGTATATCCATATAATAGAATACTGTTCAGCAATAAATAGGAAAGAAATAACTGATGCATGTTGCAACGTGGAGGAACCTTGAAAGCATTATGCTAAGTGAAGGAAGCCAGTAACAAAAAGACCACATATTATAATCCTGTTTACATAAAATGTTCAAAATAGGGAAATTCATAGAAACAGGAAGTAAATTAGTCATTGCCAGGGGCTGGGGGAAGAGGAAAATGAAGATTGACTACTAATGAGTACAGGGTTTCTTTGGAGGGTGATTAAAATGCTCTAAAATTAAATATTAGTGACAGCTGAACAATTCTGTGATTATGCTAATAATTAAATCATACACCTAAAATGAGTAAATTGCTGTTCATAAACATATAGATATAAATATACCTATGTGACTACTGTCCTAGTGGCCTCAGCCAAGTCACTGGTGACACTTACCATTCGCAGGTTTTGTGTTGTTCTTGTTTCCACTGCTCTGAGAATCTCTCTAAATCTCCCGACTCCTCTTGTCAAGTTCCTGTGTGGACACAGAATTTGACAGAGTTTCTATCTGGCGTGTATTAATATTAAATATTTCACACATATTTCAATGTATTTCATCTACATAAAAGCTGTTGGCTAGATTTTAAGCAAACAATTATTCTGCACATGTCTATCCATCTTTGGTCAACTCTGAAAAATTTGACCTAAGATTGATGGTCTTTTGTGTTTTCTAACCCCGATTAAATTTTCTCAAGAAAATAAAAATATAAAAATCAGTTCTGAGGCCAATACAAAAAACAAACTATATATCTTATAAGAATCTATCTTCAAACTTACATCGGTTCTGTAGAGTAGGACTGTAATCTATATTTTTATTTAAAAGGTGGGTGGGAACACTGGGCAAGGGGTATAGGAATATCAGCAAGGCACTGTATACAGTGTGGTTAAAGGCATCTTGTTGCAATTTGTATGGGCAGGAGAAAGATAAAAGGTATGAAAAATGAAGGGCTCTACCAAGCAACCTACTCTGCATCTTTGAGAACATAAATCACATCAAACCAAACCTCCTCGCAACCCAGCACTGACAAAAAGAAGCAAAGGATCAAAGGCCCCATCTGAGATGAGAGTGAGGGAGTGACAACTGGAACCCGAATCAGAATACATTCATCTCACTGCCCCACACACCACACAGAGACATATTTGGTGACACCTTTCATTAAGGGACAAATAATTCCTTAGCAACATCCTGGTCAATACATCCAGCCCCCACTTGTTGTCTTCTCTGAAAGCTGTGCCCTGCCTGTTCAGCTGGGAATACCTCCCAGGCCGGTGCCTTTACATTGAGAGCTGCCACCACCTATGACATAATTCAATGATATTTATAACCTGCTCATTAGAACACATCTCATCTTTCCAAAAAGCCACAGAGTAGGTCGGTGGGTACAAACCTGTCAGCCAGTCTCTAAAGGCTGTGGCAGATGCTCTAGGTATTTGGCTTTCTTCTTGGATGACATTTTAAATTGCACAAAAGTATTAAATCAAATTGAATGTGAATTCTGTAAGTTACAAGCACTCACGAGGGCTATTAATTCACATCTTATATCTACATGACATCCCAGGGCTCTCATTCACAAGAACAGCCCCAGAACTTTAAGATTATGGTTTATTGGCATAGGTACATAAATACTCCCATATTCCTCTCACCCACACATATCAGATGGTATCAGATTAGAAGCTTTATGGTGGCATAAAAAGAGAAGCTTGTGCTCAGGACTCCAAGCAGCACTAAAGGAAATCTAACAGAGACATAAATAAAAATTTGGTAACAGGCTCTGGGACATGCAATCTGCCCTGCTTTCCCTTCATTTGTTTTTATGGGATCTGTGTTCACAGGCGACAAAGGACATTTACTTTGTACTGAAGCTCCGTTCTCTTAGGTAACATGGAGGGAAGGAAATAGCTATAGCTAAAAAAGGGATGTTTATGAAAATGGTAGTCTAATTTTATTCCAGAATCACTGATTAAGCTCCTACAATGTACAAAAGGAATGGCATTTTGGACTATATGGAATAAAGATACGACTGAGGCAACGTAATTGGAAACCCTGGTAGAAAGAGTCTAATTTACCAGGGTGGAAATTAGGCCTTGAATAAGCAGTATCAAACCTCAGTATTGTAACTTAGGGAAGGCTACAAATAGGAATTGGTCATTCAGAATGTCTTCTATGCCTTCCTTACAGAATGGGCTACTTATACAATTACAGAAGCTCAGAATTTTCTAGCTATAAATTATCCAACACAATCTGGTCCACTGTGACGCAGATGTGAAAGGGCTTGCAGATTCACAAGCCTAATGAGAGACAGCAAGCTGGGAGCTTTCCACCATAAGCTATTACCTTCCTGGGTAAAAGAAATGCAAGCTCGGAAACAGGAGTGTAACTCTAGAGGAAAGAACAGTCTGTGTTTTGTACCATTAATATGCAAATTACTTCATACATATACATAACATAAATTCGACATGTTCCAGTGATGACAACTAATACAATATTCCTAGGTACTCGTTGAAAATTGGAAGGAAAATCCGTTGGCCCACGTGAAGAAGTCCAGTGTCAGAAGGCAATGCCCTCGGCTGCCTAAAAAGGTAAGTGATGGACAGAGAAATTCAACTCCCCTTTAAGGTGCAAGACCGATCCCTCCCATGCAGGACCGAGGCCCTCTGCTGGAAGAATGGAGGAAGTCTCCGTGGTTGAAGGGTGCCACACACGATGCGGCAAAACCAGCAACTGGGTGCCCACTCCCAATTAAGCCTTTGAATAATACAAGTTTTTCTCGCACTGTTTCCAGTTTATTCCTGGAGAGAGTTGATGATTCAGAAGCAAATTCTTCATCAAGCTGGGAAGAATCCTGCTTGTAAACAAAGAATTCACAGTAACTACAGAATGGAGAAGTCCTGAGGCTGTGGCCTATTCAAATGCGTGTGGCACCCTGGAAGGACAACCATGAGGCTGATCCCTGCCCAAGCCAAGATCAATCTGACAGCAAGAAAAGGGACTGGAGGCGAAAGACTGCACATTTTAAATATTAGAAAAGGAAAAAAGTGCCCCAAATGCAAAAACACATAATTCTCAGCAAATCCTATACCATTCAAACATTTTTTTTTTTTTTGGACCCGTAAGGGGATCGTGACCCTCAGCACGGTGTGGTCTGCACCACGCTCAGCCAGTGAGCACACCAGCCATCCCTATATAGGATCCTAACCTGCAGCCTCAGCGCTACCAGCACTGCACTCTCCCAAATGAGCCACAGGGCCGGTCCTCAAACATTTTTTAATCATGTAATTTTATTCAACTAATCACTTCCATTGTTGCCATGAGAGCAGGAAAAAAACCACATTTTTAAAAAGCTAGATGGAGGGCCGAGCCCGTGGTGCACTCGGGAGAATGCGGCGCTAGGAGGGCAGCAGCGCTCCCGCCGTGGGTTCGGATCCTATATGGGGATGACCGGTGCGTGCGCAGCGCTCACTGGCTGAGCGCGGTGCGGCCGGTCTCAAAAAGGACAAAAAAAAAAAAAAAAAAAAAAGCTAGATGGAGAGTCATAACAGAAAGGAACCAAAAAAAGAAATTAACTTTTAAGAATTACATTCTAAATGCTATGAAATGACCCAATTTAAGGGAAATAAACAAAACCCACACGAAACAAAACCCACATTGCCTTCATCTCTCTATACTATTAGTTGTTCTTAAAATGTTGAGACCCATTAAATATCTAAAACGAACTGTTGCTTAAAATCTCTACTCTAAAATGAAGACAAGAGAGCCAAGGAATCTCGCTGGTTTTGAGGGTTTCCACAGGCACTGACATTCAGTCATTTATTCCATTTCAACACCCTTGACTGAGAGAGTGCAGTGATGTCAGAATTCATTATGGTAAACTATTCTTGAGACGAATGTTCTTGCCAGCATCCGAGCAGCAGGCACTGGCGAGCTGTCAGAACTCGGGGTTCATCTCCTACACTTTGCTTCGCAGACTTCTGAGCCGGGTGCACTGCCCTCCACGTGGAACAGTTCAGAGCAGCTTGGCTACTACCAAGGAGGAAAGGGTCTTGAGCACCAGCTGCTTGCTCAGCATGACAGGCAGGCCAAACCCTTTCACTCACCAATATCACTGTCCCCAAACCATTAGGGAAAGCTCAGGCAAGTGTCCCAAAGGCCTGTTCTTATCCAAACCTCGTTTTCCAGTTGGCAGAAAGTGAAAGCCTGCCACTTTTCACAGGGACACATACTGCTCCTCCCTGACCTACTTCTATCTTTTCTTCCCTCCTTCCTTTTCTATCTGGTTCCATCCTCCTCCTGCTGGACCTCCTCCTTCCAGGGCTTCCCTGCTGGCCCTTAGGTCAGTGCAGAACATGGCTTCCTGAGGGTCAGTGCTGCCCCCACAGCCATCAGGACCCCCAGGGAGGGCACTAACTTGCCAGCACTTGCTCTGCTTCCCCCTTGGGCCCTGCAGCAGCAACTTGCAAGGCTGGTCTCTGAAAGTTACATTCTGTACAGCCTTATAGCAGCACCTGGTTTTGTCCTGTTCTGTTCTACAACCCTGAATGACATTCTCAGGTCTTCGATATTGTCACCTGTCCCTCCGTACTATCAAACCAAGTGAGAAATGCACATGGGAAGGAAGCCAGAGCTCCAAAACCATAATGGAAAACCAAGGCTGCGAGAAACTGGGGACTTGAGAACCATTTCAGCTTGTGACGGACGGTTGTCTATTTCAATGCTGAGCTCAATACACTTTTTGGTTATTTCTCCTTTCACATCTTGGGATTAGGGTGGGAAAGGACAATTCCTCCCTTTAACTTGTCCTTCCAAATTATCTTCTGACCCCATAGTTTGACCCAGGTACCAATACATTTAAGTTCAATATCACCAGTAATTGTCAAGCAAATTCAAAGTAGTGATGTGAATAAGACTTTTCATACTAGATGTCAAATTCCTGGGTAATAAGGAAAAGGAACACCTGTTAAAGTAAATTCAATATTTTTTCTCTGGTGTGGCTGAGAATTTTATATCTAAAAATCAGTTACAGAACAAGTCCACATAACATTTGGCATTTTCCCATGTTCTTTCTTATCAACTAGCACTTCTGAAACTCTTAAGCAGTAGGTTATTTCAACAATTATTGAGCACCGTTACATGTCAGGTTCCAGGCTGTTCCCTGACGATACAGTGGTGAACAAGGGACACTACCCCTGCTTCAGAGAGTTTAGATGGCTTCACATTCCCCACAAGACTGTAAGCCCCTCAAAGACAGAGATCTTTGTTTTGCTCACTGACATATCCTCAAACAGGGCCTGGCATACAGGAAGCACTCAGAAAATATTTGCTGAATGAATGAAAGTCAGAACCACTGTGAGTTGAATGAACCAAGCTCACAAGGGAATGCATTTCCCACCTGTTTCTTGTCCATGAGCACAGACTGGCAGGCAGCAGAGCATCGCACTCCCTTAGCTAGAATACGCCTCATAGGCCCTCAGTGGTGT